TCTCTCTCTCTCTCTCTCTCTTCTCTCTCTCATTCTCTTTCCTTTTCTTCTCTCTCTACGGATATCCATGATAACATGTTAATATAGTGAAGTCATTAAAGTTACACAGCTGTATCTTTATTACTGTACTACCAGTATAGCAAAGCCTATCATAGATTTTACATCTGTATTAGTAGTATCCTAGATATATGCTCTGGGCGCGAACGCGGTGGTGGAAGGGCGCACTTGATTCGGTTGCCAGTGAGTTTATCAGAAGAATACCTGGCTACAGTACACGTCAGTTGTCCGCTGTCGCTCTGCGGAACTTGTTTTTATTTATTGAGACGTTCCACGTGCCTGTGTGCACGCCCTGTGCACAAACAACAAGAATAAAAGAGTACTCTATAGGCGAAGTAGAGTAGAGAAACATTAAGACTGGTAGTAATTACATTTCGTGTTTATTTACCTTTTTTTTATTGAGACGTTTCAAGTGCCTGTGGGTTTGATGGTTTGTGTAGCGTGTTTCTGCCCTGGCCAGTACCCACTACCCAGTACCCCGGCCCAGCTCTAATACTGGTAGTTAGACACTTTGGCAGACGTGGAACCGCATGAATCTTCAAAATAAGCAGGGCAGGGAGTCCATTAGACTCCCTTGTACAAAAGTTAATTTTTACCCTTGCAGTGTTTCCCCTGCATTGACACACACGAGCGAGCGACACGTCTTGCTCAAATTCTCAGCCGCCACACAGAAATATGTCCAAAACAGCGCCTCGCTGACGAAAATCGTTCAGAATAGCTTAGAATGCACCTAATTGCACAATTTTTTCGAAAAATGTCCAGGGGCGGGTGCATAGTCCCCGGACCCCCCCCCCTACCCCTAGCGGGGTGAACACCCGTGGTGCTTGCTTTGCTAGGACCTCGAAATGTGCAAACATGCCCAAAACAAATTTACCACTTTTTTGGCCAGGGGAAACACTGCTGTGATGTATGTGGGTAGTACTGTACGTTTGTGTGACGACAATGACCTCTATTGCAGGCTTCAAGCCGGATAGGGTGCCTGACAGGTTGGATGCGATCGTAATAGGCAGTGGTATCGGAGGTCTTACTGCCGGATCGTTGCTCGCCCGCGCTGGCAGGCGGGTGCTGGTGCTGGAGCAGCATGATCAGGCAGGCGGCTGCTGCCACGTCTTCCAGGAGAAGGGCTACGAGTTTGATGTCGGTACGAACGGCGCCTGTAGTGCGGTGTTTCCCAACCTCCAAGGACCCCTTTTATTTAAATTAATTTTCCCACAGACCCCAGGTTTGGCAACCACAGCAACGATTGCAGGAGGTGTATATAGTCTAGCATCTTAGATCGTAGCCGTTACCGATTATCTGATTGTCACGATTGTACGTATTGTCACGATTGTACGTATTGTCACGATCGTACGTATTGTCACGATCGTACGTATTGTCAACGCATTTAACGTATGTGCTCACGATTGTAGCGTATCTGTCACGATCGTACGTCATTGTCACTGATGGTAAGCGTATTGTCACGATTGTACGCTATTCGTTCACGATGCGTACGTATGTCACGATGGTACGTATTGTCACGATGGTACGATTGTACCGTATTGTCACGATTGTACGTATTGTCACGATCGTACGTATTGTCACGATCGTACGTATTGTCACGATCGTACGTATTATCACGATGGTACGTATTGTCACGATTGTACGTATTGTCACGATTGTACGTATTGTCACATTGTTCGTGATTGTCACGATTGTATCACGTATCTGTATTGTCTGATTAGTCCGGATTACAGTTACTGATAATCTGTTGTTAGTAATGCTGTATGAAGTGTGCAGTGATATGACAGTGTGGAGTCGTAGCTGAATCTATTGTATCGTGCAGGATTCAGCAACGATTGGCGGAGATGCGCTACGTCCACGGATGCAGAAAAGTCTGATGGAATGTTTGACCGACGTCAGCTCAGTTGGAGACCTGGACGACAACTATGATACCAGTAAGTCATATCTGCAGATTAGCGTACTCTGTTACCACTTGTAGTGCTGTTACCACAATGTAGTGCCTGTATATTTCGTTTAAAACCGGAGATTTCCATTCTATCACGTAATGACTAGCGTTGGACCTATTTGCACACAAATTTCTTCAATTACTTATAACAGTATTTTATACTTAAACAACATATAATAAATATTTATGAAACTAGTCGATAATAAAAATTGGCCCAAAATCCTCTACAATGAGATTTAAATGAGAAAAAAAATCAGTGTTAACTTATAAGATTACATCGTTGATATCTCATTCATATCTTGAGAGAG